GAATTCGAGATAGCAACATACTTCGCCGTAATAAGCGTATTTCAAATAAATTGTTGTGTTGTTTTTTAGTGTTAGCCTAAGGCGTTGTGGGTCAATGGTTCTTATTAAAATGATATCCCAATCTGATCCGATTTAAATATAATTTTACAAAAATTACTTTTACACCAAACTCCGCCACACCTTTCATATTTCATTGAAATTGGTGCGTCAAATATGTGAAATCGGTCGAGAATATATATATGGGAGCTATATCCAAATCTTCACTAATTTCCAATTAATTTATCACATTTATTATTATAACCAAATTCCGCCACACATTCTGAATTTCATTGGAATCGGTCATATATATCGTGTTTGGTGCATAATATGTATGAAATCGGCCGAAATATATATGTTAGCTATATCCAAACCTCAACTGATTTCAATATAATTTGGCAATTTTTTCTGGTGCCAGATTTTGTCTCTCTCGCTTTGGGTGCATAAAATATGTGAAATCGGCTGAGAATATAAATGGGAGCTATAATCACATCTGAGCGTATTTGAATATAATTTGTCAAATTTATTTTTGTACCAATTTTAGCCACTCATGCCGAATTTCGTTTGAATCGGAAATACGTATCGAGTTTTGTGCATCAAATATGTGAAATCGGCTGAAAATATATATGGGAGCTATATCCAAATCTGAACCGATTTTAATATAATTTGAATAATTTATTTTCTAATCAAAATCCCGTTACATATTCCAAATTTCTTTGGAATCGAACATACATATCGTATATGGTGCATAAAATACATGAAATCGGTCGAAAATATATATGAGAGCTATATCCAAATCTGAAACGATTTTAATATAATTTGACAAATGTATATTTGTTTTAATTTCCGCTACACATTCCAAATTTCATTTAAATTAGAGATACATAGCGTGTTTGGTGCATCAAATACATGAAATCGGTCGAAAATATATATGGGAGCTATATCCATCCATATCCATATATTTAATTTGAGAAATTCATTTTGGCTCCCAATTCCGTTACTTATTTTAAATTTCATTACAATTGGAAATACATGTCGTGTTTGGTCCACCAAATACATGAAATCGGCGGAAAATGTATATGGGAGCTATATCCAAATCTGAACCGATTTCAATATAATTTGGGAAATCAATTTTTTAGATAAAATCTACCACACGTTTCAAATTTCATTGAAATTGGGGATACATAGCGTGTTTGGTGCATCAAATGCTTGAAATCGGCCGAAAATATATATGGGAGCTTTATCCAAATCTGAACCGATTTCAATATAATTTGACAAATTAATTTTCGGATTAAATCCCGTCACACATTCCAAATTTCATTGGAATCGAACATTCATATTGTGTTTGAGGCATCAAAGGAACGAAATCGGTCGAAAATATATATGGGAGCTGTATCTAAATCTGAACCGATTACAATATAATTTGGCAAACTTATTTTTGTTCCAAATTCCGTTACGTATTCCAAATTTGGAGACTGTATCTTCAACCAATCAATAGATATGTGCATATAAAATCTAAATTTTTGGGAGGTACCTCCGATTCTGATGCTATATCTCCAGTTCCAAGTGGAAATTCAAAAATGTATATAGCCTATGTTACTTTCAGGCGATATTGCAGTATATATGGAAATTTTCAGGAAAATCTATTCAGCGGTTTTCGAGTCCATAAATTACAAACAAACAAACAAACAAACAAACAAACATACAAACATTTTCCTCTTTTATAGATATAGAAGAAGATTCAAGTTTCTCCATTTTCGCAAAAAATGTTTAACTTTTATACATAACTTTTATTATAATATTTTCAAAACCATTAAGTTTCGAGTTTACCGAGGAGAATATTAGTAAAACCATTACACAATGGAACCACATCCAATATTTTTGTCCAAAACTATTTCAATATCACCATACGTAAACGCTGGAAACCAAAACTGACCTCCAAATCAAAATTCATAAGTTCAGCTCTATCCCTTAACCCAATACCAAATTTAGTACAATCAGTACATATATTCAAAAAAAATCTGCATCTACCCTTTCTTAAAACCAATAGTTATCCAAATTTAGTACTATTTTGTACTTTTCGTTCATCATAATACACATTTCCTTAAATTTGAAATTTTGGGGAATCTATCTATCTGTCCCCACACCCAATACCGTATTTAGTACAACTTGGTACTTTTCGAACAACTATAGACGCATTCCTAAAACCACAGACACCAAGAGTAACATCTATATCAAATTTCAGTATTTTAGCTCATCATTCACCCACAGCCAAATTTAGTACTATTTTGTACTTTTCTCACAAATATAGTGGAAATTTCCAAAACCACCTCTATATGTCAATTTCAGATGCCAACAAAGACCTCAATATCAAATTTCGGGATTCCAGCACTATCCCTTCACCCAATACCAAATTTAGTAATTTTTCATACAATTATAATACACAATTCTGAAACCACCTCCATATCTCAAATCCAGATACCAACCGAGGCTTAGAATTTCGGATCTATGCCTTCACCCAATATCCAATTTAGTACCACTTAGTACTTTTCGAAAAATTATAGTACACATTTCCACAACCACCTCCATACCTTAACCACAGACACCAACCGTGATTTCGTTCACTCAATACTAAGTCTAGTATTATTTAGTACTTTTCGTAGAATTGAAGTATATCGCAAATCCAGATACCAACAGTGATTTTCAAATTTCAGGATTTAAGTTTTAAATTACCCCCTTTACCGAATTAAGTACCATTTAGTACTATTCTTTCAAATAGAGGACGTATTTCCAAATCACCACCATATCTAAAACACTGATACCTTAACATCAAATCACAGAGCTTTATGTCTCTCCCTTTACCCAATTCTAAATTTAGTACCATTTAGTATTTTTCGTACAATTATAGTACACATTTCCGATACCATCTTCATATATCCAGGTTACACATAAACAGCGACCTTAACAACAATTTTAGGATTTCAAGCACTTTATGTTTACGCAATACCAAATTGTACCAAATACAGGGTGAGATAAAAAAAACTGCAACAAAGTCAAACGCCACAATTTTTACATTTTTTTTAATTTTATTGAGTGAAAGCAAAAAATGTCGGAAATAGCATCAAATTTTAGAATAAGTTTAGAATTGTTCGAATTGGTCACCTTTGGCACGAATTATGTCCTCCAAACGGCCAATGAAACCGTCACATGCTGCCCGAATGTTGCCCTGCGGTATTTTGACCCATTCCCGGCGAAGCGCTTGTTTGAGGTGATTGACACTTTGATATGTTTTAGTGCCAACCTTGCTTTCCAAAATACTCCAGACACAATAGTCCAACGGATTGGTATCCGGAGATTTTGGTGGCTATTGTGCGCTTTAAATGAAACGAGCGTGCCCAAGGCTTTAAGTCAGATTAGAAATGACAGCTGTCTAAAGTTAGTTGCAGTTTTTTTCATTTTACCCTGTAGAACTTTTCGTAACCTTAGAGTTCGAATTCCTAAAAACCCTGTGGTACATAAATCCAGCACTCTTTCAGTGATTCTCCCTCTAAATTGCAGAATTCTACCCCATTCTGTTTGTTAAATACAAAATACAAATTGAGTCGAACCTGGAGAGTTTCTAGTGTATAATTCGCATATACTAATTTGCAATAAGTTCGAAATATATACTACTTTCCAGAGAACGGCCCTTGTAAGCCATCATCCACATCAAATATGCCTGATGAGCCGCTTAACCAACGGCGAAACGCGTCGCATAGTGGTGAGTGTGTGATAGTGTCTATCTGGCTTTCCTTTTCACTGCAAATTTCAGATTATTAAGCTCGTCTCGAAAGAGAAAACAAACACTTAAATCATAAAACATATGATCTTCGCCTTAACAAGGCAAAACTCAAAAATTCAGCCGAGCCTGGCTGTGGGATTTGAACCGCGGACCTCTGTGTGCAGCCAACTAGAAGTTGCCGTCTCTACGTTCAGAGCCATTAACCCGTCTTCCTAAAGCAGCACTAAAACAAGTGTATGCATTGGAAGCAATGTAGTTGTTGTGGACAAAAAATCCATCACTACAAAAAACAAAAACGTTGCTGTGAAAAAAGATCTGCCAATAGAACTTGAGTCGAACCTGGAGAGTTTCTAGTGTATAATTCGCATATGCTAATTTGCAATAAGTTCGAAATATATACTACTTTCCAGAGAACGGCCCTTGTAAGCCATCATCCACATCAAATATGGCTGATGAGCCGCTTAACCAACGGCGGAACGCGTCGCATAGTGGTGAGTGTGTGATAGTGTCTATCTGGCTTTCCTTTTCACTGCAAATTTCAGATCATTAAGCTCGTCTCGAAAGAGAAAACAAATACAAAATACTTATATTTTAGTGAATTTTAGTATTTTTCGATTTAGTTGTAACTAGACAGTTCATTTCGACAGTGGGGCTGAATAGGGCCATTGTAAAGTATGTACGTTTACTAATTTAATATGTGGCCAAAGAAATCCAAAATTCTATATTGGGCGCCATTATGGTTTGCCTTCGCTAAATCCAAGTACAATTCCACACTACTTTTGTTGCAATGTAGGAAAACAATAATGGCGCCCAATATGGGGTTTTTCAAGTTTTTGGCAACATATTACATCAGTAAAATTACTTTAATATGCGCCTAATGCCATTTCAATGTCTAGCGGATTTTTTTAAGAGCGGCAATATATTTAACAAAATTTAAATTTTGAAGAATTTTAAGATTTTAAACTCAAGTGGAGTACATAATAAGTTCGATTCAACTGTATATGAAACCTTTCAATAAAAGCCATATTAATTGTATAACATTTTAAGGTAATAATATTGAACCATCTTTGCAAATTAGTCACAATTCTTGAAAATATAAAAAAAAAAACACCGAACAATTGCACTTCCTTAAAAAGACATTAACAGTTAGCACAAAAATATGTTATTCACCTTTAATCGTCAACAAAAATAATAATAAAACCCTCCATAGTTGGTTTGTTGGTTGGTTGGCAGCCCCCATAATCGCATGCATAACACCAATCCGCAACAGTAAAGTGATGTCAAACTTCTAACACTTGTGCTGGGGGGACAATGTGGCAATGGAACATAAAGATCACATATGGGGAGAGAACTCCAGCACGAACACCAAACGAGAGAATATGCTCCAATCGAACAACATGAGAACAAATGGAAGGCAGAACAACGCCAGTTGACAACAAAGTTTGTAAGTTGCTCAGTTTCATTTCCGATGGGCTGCTTGCTGGCTACCAATTGAGTGTATGGGTGTATGAGTGTGTGATGTTTGGTTGGATCGCTTTGGTTTGGCACGATATGCTTGCTGCTGGCCACAGATAACACAACCGATACAACCGTGAATTCAATGAATTCAGTTACTCACGAGCGGTCTTTTGGTTTATACGTTACACGGGAGTGCGCAAGCGCGATAAAACGGTCTCCAGAATATTACAAAAGTAAAAACAAAAAAAAAAAAAAAAAAACAATTGAAAACAATTAATAAAACTAATAATAATTATCGATACAATAAAAAAATGAGTATACCTTTCAAATAATTATTAAATACGTGTTTTTAAAAAAAAAAAAATAATAATAATAAAAATTTCCAAACGATCGAATCAAACTCAAACCTATTTACATCGAAACAGATTTTGTAACAGACAATTCCCTTGTGTTTTCTGTGCAATGCCCAAAATAATTTTTGAATCAGTGATCGATCGATGATTGCTGAAAAAGTGGTTATTTACTTTGCGTGTTATTCAAATAAATCGTGATTGATAAAATATTGTCAAAAGCGAAACTTAAAAAAACAAAGCCTTTGATTTCAAAGTGAAGAGTAAATTTAAAATATGCAACAAATGAGATGCAACATGTGGAAAATCACTTAGAAAATTATAATTTTTTTTTAAATAAAAAAAAAAATTAAAAACAAAATTTTCCAAACCTTGGAAAAATTAAATCAAACATCAAGTGCTATTCTTTGGTCATTTCAAGTTTGACTGTTTTTCCTTACCAATTTTATTTACATTTGATCCCAATAAAACAACTTTAACGTTTTGCATTCTGCATGCTGACTGCTTGTCATTCAAAGAAGTTTGGCGTCTTTTCGGATTTTGTCACAAACCCAAAAAAAAGAAACAACAAAAAATACAAATTAAAACCCACCACCTGTTCTAATGTGCTCGCTCCACAGATTTTGGCAGCATATCAAAATAAACGAACCGAATGAATACACAACCTCACTCAACTAGAGGACCGTGAATATATTTACACCACATAGGCGCGCATAAGCCTAATAACATTCATACCCATATCCATACACATAGGGACAACAACAGAACATACAACGTGGTAAGTTTTCAACGCCTTAATTTTTTCGGTTTCTATTTACATACAATATAGCAGAATGTTTATGCCCGTGTGTGTGTGTGTTTTTTTTTTTTTTTTTTTTTTTTTTTTTTGTAATTGCAACTTCATAAACAAATAACATTGAACATATGATTGCACCTAGATTATATACTAGGTGGAAGAACATAGATACATACATACCTGTATATGTGGTCTTAAATATATAAACATCCATTTGGAATAGACAATCGCTGCACAAACATCTGCACTTGTTTTGAAGAATTTTTTAATCTCTCAGGTATCTTTAAATTTGGAAATAGAACTGCGTGCAGACAAATTTATAAACAAGTAAGCAAAGGCTATAGTCGTGCGGAGCCGACCATGTGATACCCTACAACACTATAATATGTTAGAAGCCTCCTTATATCCAGATCGATTTTGGAAGATTTCGCTTTTGAAATTATGTCACGGAGCACTGACCTGACCAGAGACATTTGCCCAATATTTAAGCACTCCGTCATAGTGTTGGTTGTTGTGGTCCATTTTTCATCCAAAACGCTTGAATAATTCCCCGTCCTTAACTCTCTTCTCAGGCGTGTCGATTGGCTTCAATTGTGTGATCAGGAAGTTTTTTTCAGTTTTTGTTTCATTTGAACCCCTAAATATTTTGCGATCATCTCCAAAAGGAAGAGGCCCCTCTGTATCTCCAAATATAGACCCATCTATATGATTTGATTGTCTACGATATTTGGCTATATTCGTCAACGAAATCAGCATAAAAAGCGAGAAGTTCGGATATCGCCTGTAAGTAATTCTGATATTTTTTCACACAAAAGTAGTGGTCCATTCTACTCGCTGTCCTAAACTCTAATTTCAGCGAGATTTCGTGTCCTTTGGTTTCTATTTGTGACCTTTACAACGGCTGCAAAATCAGGAACATTTTTAGTTGTTGGTCCATTTCAACCCCTAAATATTATGCGATCATCTCCAAAAGAAATAGGGTTCTATTCTGATCATAACTCCACCTCCATTTTCAATTTCGTGAGGATCAGACTATAATTGCGACCTGTAGAGTGATTACAACTTAACATGGACAGACGGACAGACGGACGGATGGACATACATAGCTAGATCGACTCAGCTCGGTGAGATAGGAAGATCCATATATACTTTCCTATGTGGGAAATCAATATTTCGAGGTGTTACATAATTTTTGGCCCAATCAAACTTATAATGAAGTTGGAAAATATCAGAAAATGGCAACCAAGAAATTAAAATTGAATTTTTTAGGGAAAATATTTAATACAGGCAGTTATGATTTCTGTTTAATGAGGAATGTACAGTTTACGAGCATTATAAGTTTGGTTGGACCAACAAATTTGTAACGCCTCTAAATATTGGTCCTAGACAAATATACTAAACTAGCTGAACCCGGTGCGCTTCGCTACCCCCTTTTTTAAAAAAAATCAAACAAATTCAAAGAAAAACCAGTAAAGAAAGTCTTAAAGTCGGGCGGGCCGACTTTATGATACCCTACACCACATTGCTAATTTAGTAGAACTCCACATAAAAATTAAAAGTTTTTATGGGACAACTCAATCATACACCCTATGATTATAATTATAATTTAAAATTCAAAAGACTAAATATGCCGAAGCATTTGTATCTTTTAAACTCGGACTTGTATTGATAAAATGTGGCAAAGATATTTCTAAGCTGTATTTGATATATTTCCCTGAATATCGTTGTTAAGGAATGCATATTACGGCTGTGGGTAACAAATATAACAAATCGGATGAACAATATATATGGGAGCTATAGCTATATCTGAACCAAATTTGATATACTAGCTTCAAGACTCAATTCGGTCGTAAGTGCCAAATTTCATCCCATTTGGGTAAATATTAGACGTTTGGTGCACAATAAAATCTAAATCGGACGAAGTTATATATGGGAGATATATCCAAATCCAAACCGATTTCGATAAAGTTTAGCTAAGTTATTTCTGAGCTGTATTTGATATATTTCCCCAAATATTGTTGTTACAGAGTGCATATTACGGTTACGGAGGACTAAAATAACAAATCGGATGAACAATATATATTGGAGCTATAGATATATCCATGGTACAATGAAGAGAAGGTAGGCCAAGTTTGAAAAAATTACAAGTATAGAGGTCTACCTATTTGGCTTGTAATGTCAGAATTAGTATCAAAACAATAAAAAATCATACAACTTGTTGCATTTATTTTGAATAAATAATTGAAAACCGCGAAAACTGAATGAAAGGTCAACACTTCTTTTCAAAACCAGGTTCTCTTTATCTATAAAGGATTATTTCGCTACAAAAACTCTAGATTTTGTCGATGCATACGATGAAATAAACATTTTGAAAACATCCGAATTTGAATGTTTTCTGAACAATTCTTTTGTTATTGAAAAGAAAACGCATACATAAACAAATAAAGATGACATATTAAGCCAAGAAAATGAAAAAATTGAAATCATGTGGTATCATAGCCCTACCCTGATATCATTGTACCATGGATATATCTGAACCGATTGCGATCAAATTTGGCATACTTATTTTCAGGCCCAATTTGGTTGTATGTGCAAAATTTCATTCTATTCGGGCTGATATTACACGTTTGGTGCACAATAAAAGGCAAATCGGACGAAGATATATATGGGAGCTATATCTAAATTTTTACCGATTATCTCCAATTTCAATAGGGTTCGTCCTTGGGCCAAACCAATGATTTGTGCAAAATTTCATCTGGATCGGGTAATAAATGCGAACTGTACTTTGTTAACAAAAATACATGGACAGACGGACGGATAGACGGTCAGACGGACGGACATGCATACATCGACTCAGAATGTGATTCTATGCAGATCATCAAAAGGAACTGTGGGTCTATCTCGTTTCCTTTTGCCTGTTACAAACAAATGCACAAGACCATAATACCCTGACCACCTTGTGGTGTAGGGAACAGCTGACCATGGGGAAAGCAGGAACGTGCCAAATTTAGTTCGCATACATGAACGCTTTGTCCTTTGAATCTATTAATTTCATAGCAAATGTCAAGCATCCAGGAAAATGCAATCTTTTGAAGTTCAGTGGCATTTCTGTTGAAATTGGTAAATTCGAGGTAGCAACATACTTCCCCGTAATAATCGTATACTCAATTAAATTGTTGTGTAGTTTTTTTTTAATGTCAGCCTAATGCCATTTCAAATCATATCCCAATCTGAACCGATTTCTATATAATTTGACAAAATTTACTTTTACACCAAATTCCGTCACACCATCTATATTTCAATCAAATTGGCGGTACATACCGTGTTTGGTGCATCAAATATGTGAAATCGCCCGAGCGTATATATATGGGAGCTATACCCAAACCTCAGCCGATTTTAATGTAAGTAGGTAATTTTTTTTTTTACAAAAATCTCTGTCGAATTTCATTGGAATAGGACATACATTGGACGTTGGCTGTATCAAATATATAAAATCGGCCGAAAATATATATGTTAGCCATATCCAAATCTTAACCGATTTGAGAGTTACTTGACCAATTTATTTCTGTACCAAATTTAGTCGCTCATACCGAATTTCATTGGAATCGGATATACGTATCATTTTGGTGCATAAACGAAATCGATCGAAAATATATATGGGATCCTTATCCAAATCTGAACCGATTTCAATATAATTTGGCAAATTTTTTTTTGTTCCAAATTCCGTTACGCATTACAAATTTGTAAAGTGTATTTGTAATCGATCAATAGATAGGTATACGGAATCCGTTATTTCGACTCCACCCATTTGGAACGAATTTGGCAATTTTCAAAAAAAAAAAAAAAAAAATCCGTTAAAAATTCTTCTAAAATTGTAAAAATACCCAATGTAACCGTTATATTAGGGTCTATACGGCCACGTGTACCTGCATAGGCAACTTTTATCATAAGCCATTACAATATTCAAATGAAAAAAAAAAAACAAAAGTAAAAAAGCAGTAATTTCGGCCGGGCCGAACTTTGAATACCCTCCACCATTTGGAAAAATTAGGAAGTTTTCAAAAAAAAAAAAATAATAATAATAAATTCCATTAAAAAATCTGTTAAAATCTTTAGAATATCTAATATAGGAAGGTGCCGATATATCAGGGATATACGATATTGTGGACCTATAAAGACAAATCTATGTCTGCGTGTAAAATACTCACAAGGAACTCCTTGTGTGGATTTTCAGATAATTCCATTGGAAAAAGTGGCTAAAATCATCAAAATACCGAATATTGGGGAGTAACGTTATATGGGGGATATACGATATTGTGGACCTATATAGACAATTCCGTTTCAGGGGCTAAAATATGGCTAAAATCATCAAAATACCGAATATCGCGGGGTATATGGAAGCTATACGTTATTGTTAACCTATATAGAGAATTCTCTGTCGGGGGGTAAAGTGTTCACAAAGAACCCCTTGTGTACAAAGAACACCTTGTGATCATTCCGTTGAAAAATATGGCTAAAAACATTAAAATACCGAATATCGGGGGGTACAGTTATATGGGGGATATACGATATCGTGGACCTATATAGACAATTCTTTTTGAGGGGGTAAAATGCCCACAAGGGACTCCTTTTGTGGAATTTCAGACAATTCCATTGAAAAATGTGGCTAAAATCATCAAAATACCGAATACCGTGGGGGTACCGTTATATGGGGGCTATACGATATTGTGGACCTATATAGATAATTCTCTGCCGAGGTATAAAGTACCAACAAGGAACACCTTGTGTGGATTTTCAGACAATTCCGTTGAAAATGTGGGTAAAATCATCAAAATACCGAATATCGGGGGGTACCGTTATATGGGGGATATACGATATCGTGGACCTGTATAGACAATTCTCTCTCAGGGGGGTAAAGTACTCACGAGGAACTACTTGTGTGGATTTTAAGACAATTCCATTGAAAAATGTGGCTAACATCA